AGTTCTTGTGTGTCCTTTAAAAACTTGAAAAAATAACATTGGTTTTACTTTGAGACTTTGTATGAAATCTAAGGATAAGACAAGAATTTGAGTACAGAGAAAGATTGTTTAGGAAAGTAATATTTTGGGATTTTAGTACTGTGAAAATGTTTAAATCAAGATTATCATGACATGGTAGAAATTGGTTTTACTGTTCCTTGACTATCTGTAAATGTTTTTATTTCATTAAATTGAGGCAAATAACTCCAGAACTTAGAGAAATAATGCTAAAATCATTTGATTCACATCAAATTGACAGAGAAACATTGCCAGTTCGTTTTATGTCTTTAACATGGTTTTGAATAATTTTCTTCCAAACAGTACTCATATACAATATATCGTCTCTTACTTTGTAAGCACTCTGCCTCCCACCTCTGGACTCAAACTACAAATAACTGAAAAGGATTTCGATGGTCTTTTGGACTATTGAGGTTCCTCTGTTAACTGCATTGAACTTGTAGAAGGAAGATCTGTAGATTTCTAATTTTTTTAAAATAAAAGTGATGCACCCTGATATAAAATATATCTGACCATGAAAAATAGCGAACTGAACATACTCTTGCACACTGACATATCTATACGATTACAGATGAAACTGAGGGTGAAATGCATGATAGTTTGCCCATGTGTTATGTCGACAATGATACCTCAGATGTGAGGGCTTCTTCTTTCATCTGCAAAGTGGAGATGGACATTCTGTAAACCGTTTTTCTGAACTTTTTCTTATAACATCTGCTGAACGACATAAAGATATATTTTTTTATCAAATTACTGAAAACTACAAAGCCTTTTTCTATGATAATCCAGTATTTACAATTATTACTCCATAATAGCACTAGTTATTGCTTACAGGCATAACCTGTACATCATTTTGATATTTACATCAATTACATACCATTTCAGGAATATTATCTTATATTTTACAACTTCTGCCTGAAATAAAAAGCTTGTATCTATATATGAATAACATATATGTAATATTGAGTAATATCATGCATTAATGCATTCAACAAAGCTATGCATTAATGCACTTGCAGTCAAATCATCTCACCTCACACCTTGATATGGAGATAATGCAATTAAAACCATTAAACAAAAAATATGATTTGAGTTAGACTATGAGAGATGTCTTTTCGTAAACTTGACTTTTGAAGCTAAACAAGATCATATGAATATTCCAAACTTCGTTCTTGAGAAAATTGATACTATGGATCAAACAAAGATAAACAAATTTCCTGTGGTTCTAGCAGTTATTGGTGACGCCCAGTCATCTTGATTGTTATATTTCAAAGATGACAAGATTTGTAATGATGATATCTGACTGCATCCGAACACCCTTGTGGATGGTAACAGTTAAATGATGCAGTCTTGGACTATATCTTGCATGAGTATGGTCTGAACCCAACTTTTAGCAATATTTCAGCAACATCACGACGGGAGACACCAGTAATGGGCTTAACACATTGTACCCATGTTGGGAATCGAACCCAGGTCCTCAACGTGACGGGCGAACACTTTAACCACTAGGCTATCCTACCGCCCTCTTATATCTTGCATGAACACATAACATGACGATGTGTAACAACACCCTGGTAATGATACACATGGAGACAGTATAAAATAACAATGATGAACTTTGTACATTTCATTGACAGGTGCCTGTCAAGGTGATGAGAATCCATATATTGCAAACAGTAGCTACTATGCCAAAAATGCTGTAAATGCAGTTCCTCGAAAAAAATGATGGAAAACACCTGAATGAGATATTTGCATGATTTTCTGAGCAAACAATAAATGTAGCTTCAATGCAAGCTCACCAGGAATAAATTGCATAAACGAAATATGTAAGGAAATTTTCACGACCAAGGTGAAGGGGTGACGCAACAAAAATGAAAGGTGATTTTACTAGTGAGTGAGTTGGGTTTTACGCCACTTTTAGCAATATCCCAGCAATATCATGGCAGGGGACACCAGAAATGGGCTTGACACATTGTACCCATGTGGGGAATCGAACCAGGTCCTTGGCGTGACGAGCCAACGCTTTAACCACCTGGCTACCCCACCGCTCCAGATGAGTTTACTAACAACAGCCACAATCTAATAAGTAATATACTACTTAAGTACAACTGATGTTTATATTCATTGGAAAATATGACATTTAAGAACCGTCTTCCATCAATGTTGAGTCACCCTTTTATACTACTCAAAAACAGTTAAGAACCAATTTTTCTGTATTACTATAGATAATATGAGAGAATAAGGTGGTCCTGAACATTTTTTGCGCAGTATATCATACAGCACTACCACAGCACAGCAAATGATAGTGGGCATAAAGGAATGATGAAAAAAGGCCTCTTATGAGTGAATGAAAGTTACATAGCAATTGACAATGTCTATGTACAATATTACAATGACTGACACTTGTTCACAAGGAGAAATATTTGAAATATACGTACAGTTATACATATGCATTCTCACATGTCTTGTACACTGGGAGGGGAGATCTGTTTTCAGGTCTTAAAGTTCATTAAAAGCATAAATAAACCATGTATTACAACAATCATTATTAGATGAAACGTTCATATTTAAAAAATCAACATAACAAATAAGATTTAATACTGTAGGTTGAATCCACATCAACATTTTGCGAAACATTGAAATTGTGAATTTAGTAAAGTACTAACTTAGTTCTACCACATAACGTCAACAATAATCATTTTAAAAAAATCTGTAAGAAAAACAAATTGAACAAAAGCATGTATTATTCACTCACTCAATTGAAACATTCACAATTTAAACTTTAAGTAAGAATTTATTACCTCATATAAATGATATACCATTGTACTAATTTCTTACAGCAAGTTATTCCATTAACAGGCAAACATGTTCAGAAAATTTTCCTTTAAAAATAAAAATAAATAAAAAGGATTCTAATTTAATAATTTCCATTCATCAGAGGGGTACACAAAGTCTGTGGACTAGACTACCAGTTGTCCGACTTCCATTTTTGTGGAAGCTGCGATGGCTGAGCGGTCTAGGCATCTGACATTGTGTGCTGGTGATTAGGTGCCTGACTCTGATGGTGTGAGTTCGAATCCCCGGATGGGACTCAACCCAACAATAGTTAGAGAATCTGAACTTTACTGAGAAAGTGTAATTCTAAATATAACATTTGTCAAATTCAACACTTGTCATTGGTACATATTGCTTACAGCATGTTATTCCACTAACATGCCAACTTATGTTCAGAATATTTTCCTTTAAAACAAAATAAAAAGGATTCTAATTCAACACTTGTCATTTATACGTCGAGTCCACTGACACCGATCTTCCCATCCATGCACCAGTTAATTCCTTACGTCTAAAACCACTTGTTTCACACAAACCACTACTCTTATATGGTTTGACAACAACACTGTCTGTCATGACACTCAATGTTTTTTACAAATTCACATGGCTACCATTCACATTCTTCCAGAATTCAACCAATGCTGGTGTATAAAAGCTAACCTGTAAACACACACATCTAGCGTTAGAATAAAGTGATCAAAGTTTCTATTGCAATCTATCATGAATATATCACAATCAAATATATGTATATATATAAAGTACTCAGAATTTGCTCGTTCATAAAATACTCCTTGTTGTCCTGTTTATTGAAAAGTGGTTTTATTATCAGGTGAAAATGTGTGAAGTTAAAAAAAACAATTGTCCAGATATTCACAAGACTTGTTTCAAAACAACTCATAACACTTACATGTCAAAACTTTAAATTGCAGTGCCACCAGGCTCTGCAGCTCACCTAATTCTTTTCTGAATTTTATGCTAGACTGACTGACTGACTGAGTTTGGTTTTAACGCCGCTTTTAGCAATATTCCAGCAACATCATGGCGGGGGTCACCAGAAATGGGCTTCACACATTGTGCCCATGTGGGGATTCGAACCCGGGTCTTCGGCATGACGAGCCAACGCTTTAACCATTAAGCTACCCCACCGCCCCTTTATGCTAGATCAGATGTGAACTAGTTTTGTTTCACTCCAACTTGAATGTCATTTGTTGAGAATCAATATCATGATGATGATGATGATGATGATGAGATCCAGTCCCTGCTCTCTTTGAGGTTAAAGAAAAGAATTCACCAAAGTTTCTGCAAAATAGATCCTCTCTCACCATGTTCAACAAATTCCTTATTGATGCGTACATAACTGCTATTTAAGGGCCAGATCGGTATGTTTTTCATAGCTACCATAGCATTACTGGAAGCCATAGTGGTCAAGGGTCAAATGTATGTGCGTAAAACATCACAATACACAGAAAGTATAAAATGCACATGACATATCAACATGATATTTGGATAGGGCAAAAATAGAAATTTCAATATGGCTGCCAAAGTGGCCATGTTGTAAAATGGATAATCAAATTTAGGGATGCCTTTGCTATGATCACAAACAACAAAATTTCATCTTCACGGGAGTTGTGGTTGCAGGGAGTAGGTGTGGATTTAAGCTGTTTTTAACAATATTCCAGCAATGTCATGGTAAAGTTGTCAGAAGAAAAGCTGAAAATGAAGACTTTACAGACAGAATGATGAATGGACAACACTCCAAATCATAAGTTCACTGGACTTTTAGTCAGGTGAGCTAAAAATTGACCATTACAGAAACTAAATTTGAAGTAAAAAACTTGACCATTATAAAAACCAAACTTGACTAAATCATAACTTACATTCCTTGACTGAAGTATTTCAAAGCTATTATTCATATCGTATATGGCACATTTAAAGATCATCTTCGAATAAAAAAAATAAATAGAATTTTGATACGACAGTCAATTTTTTTGTTTTTGACAAACACTGAAATCATACAACGCAACTAAATGTTCATCATAAAATGTGCTGACAATTTTGCCTCATAAGTAACTTGATATAACATGAGGTTGTTTGTGTATCGTTGCTAAAACGTAAAAAAATGAAGACGACGTATGACCCATAAAGGCTAAAGGTCAATAAACAGAAAAAGAACATGTATAAAAAACTTCCTCAGTGAAGTGAAAACTCCCATGGAGTATTGTCGATGACACAAAACTTCACAGTGGGCAAATCTTATTTTCTAAAACTCCCGACAAGTCTGTGATCTAGTTTGAGCTGAATCATTGAATCATTCACATGATGACTGGAATTCAGTTGCATTACGTAGTCTATTCCTTCACTGTGTGTGAATGTTCACGACTTCGAAAGTGGTTTTTGTTGGTCACTGGCGCGGCATAGATGAAGAATCTTGATTCTTCGCACTTGTGTCTTTGAACAGCTGATCAAGTTTTAGTGCATTTCACACAAGAATCATTCCATTCTTTGAACATAACAATGAGTTGTTCAGAAAGCCATATGAATCAAACCCTTCAAGTCACTGAAGGTCAAGTATACTCCAGATATATTTTCTTTGAGAGAATATGGGGTGAGTAATGATAGTGGATGCCCTAAATTTTACTGTCCATTAAATTCCAAAACTTGCAGAATTGAGCCTCTGAAATCCCACTACCTTTTTTACTGGAAAATGGGTTGTGAATCAGAAAATGTTTTCATAATTGTTGCAAGTATGGTAAAAGTCGTTGAAACTTTTAACTTTCTGGAAACAGCTACTTCTGTTTTTATTCAGAAACATGTGAAGTTTTATTCCTTGAAACTGTAATACATCCAAATGTCTGGAAATAAGTTTTCTGAAACTGGCCACATACATTCTCCTGGAACAACACATGATTCTTCTGAAACTTGCCATATACTATTCTCCTGAAGCACGTTATAGGTTATTCTTTTAAAACAAGCCATCTCTTTCAGCCTGTATTAAGTCATTTGCTATTCCTCAGAAACTGGCCATATACTATTCTCCTGAACCTAGACGTGGGTTATTCTTCTGAAACTGGCCATATACTATTCTCCTGAAACAAGTCGTGGGTTATTCTTCTGAAACTGGCCATATACTATTCTCCTGAAACAAGTCGTGGGTTATTCTTCTGAAACTGGCCATATACTATTCTCCTGAAACAAGTCGTGGGTTATTCTTCTGAAACTGGCCATATACTATTCTCCTGAAACAAGTCGTGGGTTATTCTTCTGAAACTGGCCCCCCTAGATCACAGTGTGCATGAAGCACAAACAGCACCAAACTGAGAGTCACAATTATTTCTTGTTCATTAAGCAAGAGTTCCTGGCCATGACACGACTGTGAGCGTCACAGCGCCATCTATCAGCTTGAGAATTTCAACAGCCTTGCTGTGTTGTATGTTCTGTAAGCTGTGTTCGTTGACGCTCATGATCATATCACCACATCTGAAAACAGAAATTATGGACGTTTAATAAGCTCAAAAAATATTTGAATACTTCAATTGTACGTCAGCCATAATGAGTGAGAGTGAGTGAGTATGGTTTTACGCTGCTTTTAGCAATATTCCAGGAATATCACGGCGGGAACACCAGAAATGGGTTTCCCACATTGCACCCACGTTGGGAATTGAACCTGGATCTTCGGCGTGACGAGCGAACGCTTCAACCACAAGGCTACCCCATCAGCCCCATAATGAGTGAGTGAGTGGGGTTCTACTCCCCCGTTAGCAGTATTCCAGCAATATCTTCTTCAAACGCTGTACCCATGTGGGGAATCGAACCCCTTATTTTGGCAAATGAACACTTAACCACTTGACTACCCCAGCATCCTCAGCCATAACCCGAAGCAGCCCCATGACCACCAATTCTTCATGCATCATCGTGTACTTGAAGTCAAACATAACTTACAGACCCTGATCTTCAGCAAGACAACTTTTTGAGAACTAACAATTGAGTATTGGGAAAGTTAAGGCCGCAACCATGTTTCACAGTAACCTCAAAGATGATATTTCACAGGATCAGCGCAATTAATAATTAAAAAACACAATCTCCACAGGTGATATCAATAAGTGAAAACAAAACATTATTCGAGAGAGAATGACTGAGCAAGTGGAACTTGGGGCCTAATGCTGCTGTAAGTTATTCCAGTAGTACCATGGTCTCTCAGCTTAATGAAGGAGAAAACCCCGAAGTGAAACACGTTTCCACTTTGATGAAAAACTAACAAGTATGGGTATGATGCAGAGGAACATGGCAACCTAATCAAGACGAACCAAGATCCAAAGCCACAATCATAGGCACTCGCAAGCCCAAGGGATGCCACTCTGCATAGTGAATTACAATGCCTTAGACAAATCGGCCACTTGGGTACTGGAGGAAGTAAACGTACATTAGTCTTAAACCACCCTGAATCACAAATCGATCATAGTGCTATAACTGTAAGAACGTTAAAGTATGTGCATTATGACAGTTGCAGTGTAGTGCCCTTGTTTGTTACAGGGCCAGGAAGATTCAAGGCCACAATCAGAGGCACTGGGATGCCCAAGGGGCACCATTATGCGGAGAGAATTACAATGCCTTTGATGAAAGGGTAACTTGGGTCCAAGTGGGAGAATATACATCAGACTAAAGCAACACTGAATCACAAAGCGAAGAAGTCACGTTAAAGTAAATGCATTATGATAGCCGCAGTGCTATAATTGCTTTTAGTTATGGAGCCATGAAGATTATTTCAGTAACATCACAGCACGGCAGCTCAGTGTGTGAAGTATGCCTGACATGCTGGCGAGAGACATTTGTGAGTCAAAAAACCTTAGGCATGGAGCTGACAGACCAAGAAACCTAACCAGGCTCATTCCACAACTCGAACTCCCAACTCATAACTCCAACATAATCAGTTGTGGCATCAAAGACCACTTTGTTACCCAGGCCCCAAGAGAGACATTGAACTCAATCACATTACCCGCATCATTTTTCCAAATTACTTGACTTCTCACTGGTTAAACACCTTGTAAACATTTCCAGTGTTTTGGCTTGTATTGACGTTATCCTGATAATTCCACATTAACTACAATAACTTATTTCTAGTTCAGCATTTCCTTCACTCTTCCTAAACAATTGATTTAGACTTTCGAAAAGGCCATGACATAGCTACACAGGTGGGATCTTACTTTAACCTCCCATCCTTGGCCGCGGAGGTCTCAGGAACGATGGACTTGACAAAGATGGGCATCTGACCATGGCTGCTGTCACACCCACCAACAATGGAGAACCCCAGGCTCCCTGACGGGCTTCGCAGTAACGTAATCGTCTTGAGCAACTGGCACGCTCTGGAAAAATTAGAAACTCGTTACAAAGCATTAGTTGTGACAGCTTTTCTGTCGTGTAACAGTGCCCTTATATGAAGTAGTAAGTAGTATGAAGGTGGGGTTAAAATAATAGACTGGACCAGACAATCCAGTGATTGATGCAATATAATGCAGTTATTGATGCAATGTAATCCAGTTAATGATCCACTCTGTCAAGGTATGATGACATTATTTCAATCAGGTCATTAATTCAGGTAACCCAACCCTGTTCTTGTGACTTGCACAGGTTGGACCGTGAGAGTTATCTTCCCTTGCTGTTCGCACAGTGTGGTGGGTTGTAACACCCACAAGCTTGGGTGACAGAGAACAGCAAGGGTAGATAACTCTCAGGGTCCAATATCTCATAGCCTGTCACCCACTAACATCATTAACACCTTTGGGGCCTGTCACAAATTCTGTCCTGTGTGCTTGTTGTTTAACACCACACCTAGTGATATTCCAGCTATGTTACTGCAGTCAGTAAGTAATCTTGTCAGGATCAGATAATCCAGTGATTGATAGTATGAGCATTGATGGACTTGCAAGTCTCCAAGCCAAACTGTCAGATCCCCATTGCCAGATCCATTGTGTAGCCACTTTTGACTGCTGGTACTTGGGGCAAATTCTAATGTGGAATCCCTCTGGGACAATTCTCCAGATTCCAGGACCCTACCTGGGTAGGCGGAGCCAGAACAGCCAGTTGGGGACGAAGTTCTGTGCCCCCTCCTCTACATCCTCCGGACCCTCGATCACCTTCATCATCAGCAGCTTGGTCTCTGACTGGACCTTGAGCTGCTTCACCGCCTCGCTGTGGGTCAGCCCCAGCAGGTTGATACCGCCAATGGACAGGAGCAGGTCACCTTTCTGTCGAGGCAACACACAGCATTCATCACACAGATATCTATACACTATCAAAAGGTAATCCAGTTTTATGTTTTGGTCTACAGATTCCCAATGGGGCCTAAGGCTACCAACCGAAAAGAAAATAGACACGATAAACATATTGCACTTCTTACAGAATTATCATTTTAACTTTATCAACTCATTGTCAACATTAACCAGTCAAGTCAAGAAGTTCAAGAATGAAGCTGGTTCTCACCTTGAGCTGGCGACTACGCCCCAGACATCCCTTGTGGTTGATGTTCGTGACATACACTGGCGTGTCACCACGGAAACTGGACAAACCACCAGCTACACTCACACCTAGGCTCTCAGAGGGGTCCTGTCAATAAAATCATCATCATCATCATCATCATCATCATCATCATCATCATCATCATGATGGGCGGTGGGGTAGCCAAGTGGTTAAAGCATTAGCTCGTCATGCCAAAGGCCCAGGTTCAATTCTCCACATGGGTACAATGAGTGAAGACCATTATGCCCTGAGGTCATATTGTTGGAATACAGCTAGAAGCGCCGTAAGACCCAACTCACTCATTGTCATCATCATCATCATCATCATCATCATCATCATCATCATCATCCTGTGGTCTAGTCTAAGGGGGATGTACATGTCACAGATTTGCTGTTACTAGTATATGAAAGTAGGAACTCCCAGCCTCTAAACAACATTTAACATCTGTGAAAAGAACTTCTTGACTTTCATCCTCAACTTAGCATATTATTCATGATTTTAGGAAATAGTCCTATTTTCAAATTTAACGTTAATTTAACAAATATCACAGCTACTTCAATGAAGAGTGCGGAGACGGACCTTGGCGAGGCTGATCATGCGTTCCTTGCACTGGACCTTCATGGGGTTCTCCATGCTATCACAGTCGAAGGTAGCACTACACTTGGCAGTGTCGTTTGAGGTAGAACGGATCAGATCCGGAGTCTGTGGCCGACTCTTCCGAGAAACCACAAACTGCACTCTATCTTGACTAGTCTGCAACACAACACCTCCACATAAATACAACAATATCCACACAGGCATTGGTTATCGCTGTAGAGCGATAACTTCATCATGAAATATTCTCAACATCCATCGGCTATTGGTAACTTACAGTCTCAACAAGATTCAATTTTAGGTTACAGTTGTACAAATTCACAGTTTGTTACTCTGTAATATTTACAATGAAGGAAAACCAAGTTCTATGGATAGTCAACTTCTTTATTGCAACGAGTGCGACGTTTCGGTGTAGGTACAAACACCGTTATCAAGCAAGTTATAACTACTAAAAATGCCTCTCAAAGAAAATATTCTTTGCAATAATTCCTGTAACTGCTTGACTAGTATGAAATTACTCTATATAACAGTGATTTAGATTACACACAGTTATAAACAAACTGTTTCCAAGAAACAAGCTCTTTGCAGCCAGTCCACATTTAACAATAATACAAATTAAGTATTGTGGAACAAATTAAATCATGACTCAAGTTTTGAGATATGTATCGATACATTGGGAAGATGTATCATGAGTTTCCTACTTGTATCAGATGGGCAGCCTGTTCCTGTGTGCCATACGAGATGTCCTGACAGTTGATCTCCAGCAGACGGTCGTCCGGCTTCAGGCGGCCATCATACGCTGCGGTACTGCCCGGGATCTGCAACAACGACAACATAGTAAACATCTGTGCTGCTTGCTCCTTGGAGCTGTTACATTACTGTGTCATGAGAAGAGATTATCTGTATTCAGACTGGCTGTTTCATGGAGGCCGATATACTACTGGAGATGTTATCTGGATAGATTAGCTGTTTCTTGAAGGCATCTTGAAGGAGATTGCTTGCGTATTGTATTCATTTAATTCTGACATTTTGCTTGATTATTTCATCCATCAATGGCACAAGTAACACAAAAAAACAAAACAACAAAAAACAACACAAACTTTCACATGAGAAGAATGAGAGAGGATCACTCACCAAGTTCAAAATGTACACACCGGGACCATTCCTGCGGAAACACAAACACCTGCCATTATTTAACTTGGAAAAAATGTTTGATATCATTGTGCAATCATTGCTATACAACTGACTTCTTGAAGGAAACTGTTTCTAGCTCTGGACGACTATGTTCAGCCCAGACGACATGGGTTAAAATCTACACCAGGCTCCGATACAGAAGACAATGCAAGCACTCCTAGTTCCTAGTAGTGATACTAAAATTTAGGTATAGAAACGGAGGGCTTCAAAACTTTGCTGTATTAGTTCTGTTTATGTATATCCAGCAAATGTTACCCAAGAAAGGACAAGAAGACATTGGTGTACATTCAAACAATGTGTTACAAAATTACAGCCAATGTGTTATAAAAGCTGGGTTCTTTACCACCAAATTCAGATATCTTTTCCAGTAAACCCAGTTCTGTTTATATAGTACATTCAGGTCTATATAAAGTTAATTCAGATCTGTTGTCCAGCATATGCATGTATTTTTCCAGCTGAATCTGGTACCTTTTCCAGCTAATTCATCACTGACCTAATCTCAGAAGCAAAAAGTGTCAAGTGTTTCTCACCGTTTCCCAACCAGACGAATACCAAGCTGCTTTGTCTGAACCTTCACCAAAGTAATCTTCAATATTTCTGAAAAGATATGACAAATTAATTTTAAAAACACACAAGCAGAGGCATATATGCTGGACGTACAAGTAAATAACCAATATAACTACACATATAACTAAAGTACAATTCCCTTTACACAGACAGTCAGGACACGTGTTCAGTTTCAGTTCCTTTCTACATCCTACTCAACACTAGGTTAGTCTTGTCTACAGCCTCCACTTCCTTCCTCAATCCAAGGCTGCTTTGAACAATAATATCAAAACCTTTAGCTTTTCTCCAACTTACTGTAAATACATTTTCTCAACAACCCCTACCCTTTTTCTCCAAGTTAATCTGAACACTTTTTCCTGTTTTCAACAATCTTTACACTCTGTGTGAAATTTATTCAGAAAACTTTAAATTTAGTTTTCATTCCCTTTTCTATCTAAGTCAATCTGGACACTGTATTTTCTGTTTTCAACCATCCTCTCTATCCAATCAAATCGAAACACTTTATCTGTTTTCAACAACCCTTACCCTGTCTGTCAAATCAATTCGTAACACTTAACTTTTGCTTTGAACAACGATTCCATTCTCTATCTCAATGAGGACACTTTATTTTCTGTTTTCAACAACTCTCTCTATCCAATCAAAACGGGATATGTTTCTCTGTTTTCAACAACCCTCTCTATCCAATCAAAACGGGATATGTTTCTCTGTTTTCAACAACTCTCTCTATCCAATCAAAACGGGACATGTTTCTCTGTTTTCAACAACTCTCTCTATCCAATCAAAACGGGACATGTTTCTCAGTTTTCAACAACTCTCTCTATCCAATCAAAACGGGACATGTTTCTCTGTTTTCAACAACCCTCTCTATCCAATCAAAACGGGATATGTTTCTCTGTTTTCAACAACTCTCTCTATCCAATCAAAACGGGACATGTTTCTCTGTTTTCAACAACTCTCTCTATCCAATCAAAACGGGACATGTTTCTCAGTTTTCAACAACTCTCTCTATCCAATCAAAACGGGATATGTTTCTCTGTTTTCAACAACTCTATCCAATCAAAACGGGACATGTTTCTCTGTTTTCAACAACTCTCTCTATCCAATCAAAACGGGACATGTTTCTCTGTTTTCAACAACTCTCTCTATCCAATCAAAACGGGACATGTTTCTCTGTTTTCAACAACTCTCTCTATCCAATCAAAACAGGACATGTTTCTCTGTTTTCAACAACTCTCTCTATCCAATCAAAACGGGACATGTTTCTCTGTTTTCAACAACTCTCTCTATCCAATCAAAACGGGATATGTTTCTCAGTTTTCAACAACCCTCTCTATCCAATCAAAACGGGATATGTTTCTCAGTTTTCAACAACCCTCTCTATCCAATCAAAACAGGACAAGTTTCTCAGCTTTCAACAACTCTCTCTATCCAATCAAAACAGGACAAGTTTCTCAGCTTTCAATAACCCTTACCCTCTTTCTCAATCGGCCTGCTCTCCTCTGCCCTCTCCCTGTACACTGTGAGGCGACACAGGGGGAAGCACTCACTCAACGCTCGCACCGCCTGCAGGTGTGTGGCTTGTGTCAGGTCTTCGCCATTCACCTGCACATCAGACACAGATTTAGATAGTTCACATTTATATACAGAGAATCGTAGACATCGATATGCTTGAAAAACCAGAGAAAGTTTTCTTTCGATTCCATATTTGAGCATACACACATCAAAAGGGCTGTTACGATAGCCTACCTCCAGAATCTGGTCGCCTGGCAACAGTCGGCCATCTTTGTCTACCACTGCCCCCTTGATGACTTCCTGTATCACCGTGCATACCTGTGGAACAGACATAGACTGTAACATCATAACCCCATAACAGCCAGACAACAGTCTGACAAGAGCCTGGCACAAGCCAGACAACAGCTTGATATTAGCCAGCCATTAGCCAGCCATTAGCCAGCCATTAGCCAGGCAGACGCCACCTGACAACATCCAACAGCAACAGCCAGACAACAGCAGATCAGTGACAGGAAGACACCCTAGGGATGACACACAAACTAACCATCCTGAGATAAACAAACATCAAGTTCGCTAAACACACTGCTAATTCAATTTTATGTCAGTTACATGTGGAATGAAAGCCAAAATTTATCAAATTTGAGAAGATCTCAAAGCAAATCAGATGTATAGCAAACAGCCCATGGATCATAATCAGGTCAAATCTGGGATCTGAACCCAGAACCATCAGACCCTGGTATGACACTGCCCAGTGGGCCACCTTTATCCCCCCAATCAATACTTCCAACTTAAAAAAGAACCTAACATCTTTCAGTTAGGTCAGAAACCATATTTCTACTTTCATTCACTCAAATGTTTGTGGGTAAGACTTAAGCAGCTGCCACTCACCAATGGCGTATCACATCCCCCAACGACACTGATTCCCAGGTCCTGACTGTGTTTGCCGGGGGAGGCGTTGTGCGTGTCCATCTGGATCTCGATGGTGGACACCTCTCCCTCCACCACTGGGTTCTGACCTGCAATAAACAGTCACGACATCTTGTAGACATCCTACTGCAGTAGCTGTGATTGTTTGGTGTCTAACGCCTACAGTGGATATATAATCAAGATGGAACCAGACATTCCAATGATTGATGTTATGAAGAACAACATCTGTGCATGATGACATGTCAACAACCAAGACATCAATCCTGAGAATCCAAGCCACTAGGGACCTCCCTACAACCATCAGAGGATCTATTCTATTCCTGACACTACTGCAGAAAAACAGTTGCAATAGCAATAGATTACAATTTAAAAAATCATAGCATTAGAAGTAGTTTAAGACTGACTGACTGACTGAGTTTGGGTTTACGCCGCTTTTAGCAATATTCCAGCAATATCACGGCGGGGACACCATAAATGGGCTTTACACATTGTACCCATGTGGGGATTCGAACCCGGGTCTTCGGTGTGACGAGCCAACGCTTTAACCACTAGGCTACCCCACCGCCCAGTAGTTTTAGAGACAACAGTGAGTGAGTATGGTTTAACGCTGCTTTTAGCAATATTCCAGCAATATCACGACAGGGGACACCAGAAATGGGTCTACACTGTACCCATGTTGGGAATAGAACCCGGGTCTTCGGCGTGACTAGCGGATGCTTTAACACTAGGCCCCAGAGACAACAGCATATGAGTACGATGTTATCACTGTACTGTTACGTGTGTTTGTTTACAATGAACTGAATAAGCTGTAGTCTACAATCAATCTTTTTAAGCAAACAGACAAACAAGTGAATTGGAAACATGTTCAAAATGAAACATATCATTTCTGCTGACATAGACAAAAATATACATGTTACTAGATTTTTGTTAAACATGATCTAGTTTGTGGTCCCCTCCTCTACCCAGGGGGCAGTGATGATGCTGTGAGAGTAACACACAAGGTGTCTCACGGAAAACATACAGCAATGGGCTTTCTGTGGTGTAACTGAAAGGGAGATAACTGCATACCTGCATGTTGGTCCTTGTATGGACATTCCCACAGGTGGCTCTGTAAGGCACTGCGTGGACCCTGAAACGTGCATCCCAGACTGGCCTTGATACACCGCGTCACTGCACCTCGACATCTGGAAGAGGGAATTCATTATTTCACTAATTAATATAATTCATTAAAACATATGATAATACAAATTACCAAAATTACGGATATAATTTGAATTTCAGACCTAAATTTTAGGCAGAATACAACATCAGCCATCTTGAAACAATCTTTCTTTGAAAATATATTATCATAAATTCATTCTGAATTTTAGTAAACTAGGAACAGTCAACATGTAATGCTAGGCCCAAGTAATGGTACACAAGCTGGGATTATCTAGGTCTGTCATGAGGCCGATATTTGGCCCCTAGTCAGCAGTAACTGACACTTAAAATATATAAATTAAATTTTTAAAATTCGAAATCCTCAGAATTTACATCAATATGAACATATATAAAAATCATGTAATTTTGAATAACATCGAGACTTTTTATCATTTTGGGCATTTAGCTTGGAATCCATGATAAATCCCTGTAAAAACGGACATTCTGATTCTAAATACCTGTGTGTTTTTAGTTCAAAACAACATTCAACAATATTCAAGTTATATGACAACTGAGTTTTTAAAATTTCAACATGAAACTAATGTGTCAATGTCATCAGGATTGGACAACATGAAATCAACCAACTCAAGGAGCCAGACACACAGCTCAATAAGTCCCCTCATACAACAGCCATAGGTTACTGGTGACCTACTCTAACATGCAATCCATAAATAACGTACCTGTGAAGGAGGTGAGCTTCAAGATCAGAGCGCTGTAACACGTCTTCACAATAATCAACATTGGGACACACAATCAGCAACTTGTCCAGCAATCTGTAACAAGGTGAAGGATACTGTAACAACCAGGCAGACAGGACATGCAGTACACAGCCAGGCATTATACACCTTTATACACCAGAGGTGGGATACGTATTGTACCCATGATGGAATCAAACACAGAAGAGTGGAATCTGTAACCACTCATTTGTTCCACTACCTCCTTTGTAACATTTAAAAGCAATGGATAAAAATTAAAAAGTACAAACATTAATTTATTATTTTAATAACAAGGAATAATTACACAATGGAAATGCAACAAACAAGGACAGAAACAAAAGTTGAAGGTGACTGTAAAATGACTCACTTCACATAAATCATATCACAATTACTTCATTACACTGCCTTCGATAATCATCCCTGACGATCAGCAGCAGCGGCAACTACTTCGATGCAGGTGGTGCTGCTGCTGATCAATATCAGATGGTAACTGGTGATGGTGGAGTAGAGACATGAACTGTTGTGTTCATCCACACTTCTCCATCATCATCATCATCATCATCATCATCATCATCATCATCATCATCATCTCAAGATAATCATAATCATTATCATCATGATCATAATTGTCAGAATCATATGTACCGGTAATACAATAATCATCACAAAAAGTTATATACATTGTACTTCCTTTCAAAAGTGCAGACTCACTTACAACACTGACTATATGTTATCTATGTATGCGCGCACGCGCGCACGCAACGCACGCACGCACACACGCATGCACACACACACACACCGATCCGCCAATGCCATTGATTATCCCCCTCAACACGTTTTATGGGGGGTATTAAAATGGACTCCGTCTGTGCGTCCGTGCACATTTGTCTTTTCCGGAGCAGAACTCTAAAACTGTTCAATATTTCTTCACTCTGTCCGTCCGTCCGTTATCTTTGTATGTGCGCGCACGCACGCACACACACATACACCTTATATATGTATATATCATTATGCAGATGAATTGCACGAGGATCATGCATCAAATTGCTGAAAATAGTGCAAATATCTTGCATGTGAACAGCTGTGGTTTGGTGTAATGTTTTGTTAAGAATAAGCCAATTTTCACTGATTTTTATCATTTATTGAACTCATGACAATAATCTTTTCAACATTATGAATGTGTTTTACAATACATCAGTTTATGTGTAAACAGTACCTTTAAACAGTATGGAACATTTGGGAAAATTTAGTTTAGAACAGTTGCCTGAAGTATGTGGCTGTATTTACACTAGTGAGTCTAAACTTTTGAAAGAAAGTATATTATCATCACTATGAATATTTATGAATCTGTACAGAAAACAGAGATTGTGCTCAAGTGCTTAAAATTCATGGGATTATATTCAAAGGTTTGGAAATGTTAACTGCGTCAGATTTATTGAAATAGCAAACTCACAATTTACCATGACAGTGGAAACTAAATTGACTCCATTGATATGGACCAAGGCCAAATTCTAGCCAAAGTTATTTATAAAAGTTTCTTACGACCATCCATGACAGTGATGCTTCACAAACTTCAGTCTGAAATTGAGTTACACTCTTAACTGAAGTTTAATCACCGTTTAATGAAACATGTTCGTTTTGTTTCATCAACATCAAAGTTATCAGATTAAGCTCGTTTCAAAATGGCTGCTGCTAATGAGCCTCAGTCAGCAGCTTGTTGATCCCGAGGTCATTCTGTGACTATAAGGGGAACAGTCCATGTATCATTAATTAACCCACCATACCCAAACTACACTGATTCCAGCATTAACTCTGATTTCTATCAGAGAAAGTGTTAATCTGTCATTTTGTGCAAACTTTGGATCATTGTCAAATCTCAGTTATCCACAAACATACACAGCCTCTGCCATGAAATGGCTATTTTTCCCCAATGAATCAAAGCACTGCCTGGTTCACATGAGGGAGATGAGCAGTGGCTACACCAAGCACATTTGAACGACACATACAGAAATATATCTCAGCACCTGCAGCATGTGCTTCAGCCTCACCGACATCTACACAATGTCTTCATGGGAAGCTTCAGCTGTTCACTATGTTTGGTGAGTGAGAGTGAGTGAATGAGTGAGTGAGTGAGTGAGTGAGAGAGTGTGAGTGAGTGAGTGAGCAAGTGAGTGAGTGAGTGAGTGAGTGAGTGAGTGAGTGAGATGCTATTCTTCACTGTTCATCAATTTTCTAGCAATTCCATCTGAGCATACACCTGCAAAGTGCTTTACATGGGTGGTGAGTGAGTGAGTGAGTGAGTGAGTGAGCAAGTGAGCGAGTGAGTGAGTGAGATGCTATTCTTCACTGTTCATCAATTTTCTAGCAATTCCATCTGAGCATACACCTGCAAAGTGCTTTACAAGGGTGGAGTGTGAGTGAGTGAGTGACAAACCTAGAAGCATTATCAAGGTGAACTTGGATTTGAACCAATGATCCTAAGTTCCAAGCTTGTCCAAGAGATGCAACATTGCACAGTGAATTGTTGCAGAAGACTGACTGACTGAGTTTGGTTTTACGCCGCTTTTAGCAATATTCCATCAATATCACGGCGGGGGACACCAGAAATGGGCTTCACACATTGTACCCATGTGGGGAATCAAACCCGGGTCTTCGGCGTGACGAGCCAACGCTTTAACCACTAGGCTACCCGAGGGCCCCTGTTGCAGAAGAAGACTTATCCACCTTTCATACGTTTTCGATACGAGTGAGTGAGTGAATTTAGTTTTTACGCCGCATTCAGCAATATTCCAGCAATATCACAGCGCTGGACACAGGAAATGGGCTTCACATATTGTACCCATGTGGGGAATCAAACCAAGGTCTTCGGTTGGACGAGCAAACACTTAACCACTAGGCTACCCCTTTTCAATATGAAACAAATTAGTCTGAACAATACAGCAGACACAGCATACTGATCATGACTACTGCATCTGAAGATGCTATCTGCTTCTGGCAGGACTTACTATAATTTATCACACTCACGAACAGTTTCTGAGCGGTGAGGTAGCCTAGTGGTTAAATCAGTCGCTCATCACACAGAAGACCCGAGTTAGATTCCCCACATGGGTACAATGTGTGAAGCCCATTTCTGGTGTTCCCCGCCGTGATATATATGGAATTTTGCTGAAAGCGGCGTAAAACTAAACTCACTCACTCACTAACAGTTTTTAATCCTGCACAAGTAAGTAAATGCTGTTTTGCAACTTGCAGCATTTCCCCTGGCGATATAGCTAACATAATATTTCTAACAATAGACAAAAGCAACGAAAGTCAAGCAAATAATTCCGACAATCAATAACTGCGCCTCAGGGAAATGATTTAATCAACAAACCCAATATTTCATCTCGGCCAAATCATTCTAATTATCTGCTATAACACTGAAACTGGCTAGGGTGCCAACAAACTTCCAGCATCTTCAGGAAATTTGTGTACCTCTGTGAACTTAATAGTTCAGTTAACGCAGTCAGACGATATTTGCTTACACACACAAACATGAAATTAGGACAATAATTACATTGATCATGGCATAATTGATTATCTTTGAGGTCGATCATCGGCACCTGTTATCAAGAAACAATAAAGAAAGGGCAATAACGTCGATATGTGTTCCACTTCGGTAGTTTCTTCCCAGGGGTCTGTTCGGGTCAGAGCAATGGCTAAGATGCATGCAATTGTGGCCAATTAAAGTGACTAATTGTTCTTTTTATGGACACTGAAGATTGTGTAAGACATTTCAACTATTTTCCTAATGGCATTACACTTAGTAACTAGCAAGACGAATCCAATACTTATCGAATTCTTTGTTTTTCGTAACTGTTTCTTCCATGAAAATTTTAAATGTTCTTTTTAGTGCAACTGTTATTGGCAACATTTGCCAGGCAGCATGTCATGTGAACTGTTTACATTGTGTCACATGTATTGGATCTGTCTGATTGGCTGGAACCAGAATGGTTGTTGACTGAGTGATCAGAGGTCTAAGACGATGCTCATGTGTTATCTGAATGAAATCAGATAATGTTAGCACCATGTCTCAACAAGCAAAAAGAGTGCTTGATTGGGATTTTTGGTAAATAAAACTTAAATTTTGCAGTGATAGTAGGACTCAAGCACCTGGAATTTGCTCTTAATGATTTAATGTATTTCAAAGTATTTTGTTTATCACAGCATAAATGTGCTGATACGGTTTGTTATACACCAAGAAAGATGGAAGTACAAAAAGATGGAAGGCGGACAGACCAAACCATTCCTGTGTACCCTTCCCTAATCATGATGAGGATATAAGCAATCTGACAGGGATGAGAATGGGTATGAGTGAAAAAAGAGGAAAATGAACCGGGGGTCTTGGGGGCCTCAGGTTTAGACGATTCACAAGAATGACCCCAGTGTGATCAAATCCACGGAATTCTGCAGATTCGCGGAAAATTCTCATCCTTGATCTTAGCACAGCTTATCCTAAGTCAGCATCAATCTCAAGGACAGCACACAGATCCCTTGTGATACAGAGAGTGAGTGAGTTGAGTTTTATGCCGCACTCAGAAATATTCCAGCTATATAGTGGCGGTCTGTAAATAATCGAGTCTGGACTAGACAATCCAGTGATCAACAGCATGAGCATCGATCTGCGCAATTGGGAACCGATGACATGTGTCAACCAAGTCAGCGAGCCTGACCATCCGATCCCGTTAGTCGCCTCTTACGACAAGCATATTCGCTTTTTGTGGCAAGCATGGGTTGCTGAAGACCTATTCTACCCTGGATCTTCACGGGTCCCCTTGTGATACAAGATCGTGGGACCTGTTCCACTATGGGATCTTAGTGCTCCTTGCTGTAAATCAGTGTCTGGACAGGGTTTTACACAGACTTTGAAAAAAGAGAGTCATGGTGACCCACAGTATTTATTTTGGGGAGTAATTTTCAATATTTGGAAGTCATTAAAATTTTAGCGTAATATTTATGTGTGTATATAAAAAAGCAAGAGTTTTGCAAAGATTTTATTGTTTTGTGTTGTATTGTCATTTATATGCAAGTTAATATGAATAGTATATTTTTCACTGTTCAGTTCAGTCATAACAAACTCCAGTATACTGAACAAATAATCAGGCTTGTGATTTATTCACTGTAATATACAGTTATTAACATGAATTGAAAGAAATATCTAAATAATGAAGACCTCACGAAAACTATCATCGTTTGCTTATCAGATCGATTTTATGGACTCTAAACTGAATTCTGAGGGTCACTCATTAAACTTGCGTCAAGCTTGACTCATATCATAATATTTTGAGTCTTTTACTTGTTGCGTCAAATACTCAGGAATCACGCGTCATGTAAAACCCTGGTGTCAACGTATAGGAACAAAGTCCCCACCACATAACAACCTTTAAGTGCTAAGGTCAATCGATCAAACAAGGCCACCATGAACTAATCTGCTTCAGTACTTACCACTGATTGCCCATTTTGCTAAACATAAACTCGCATATTATACTTACCCAAACGGAGTAAGCAGGACCCGTTCATAGTTTTTCGCCAACTCGTCCATTTCCGTATCTGTCAAGTGTTTCATCTTCCCATTCCATCATGGCCGACAGGAAAATATCAGCCTCTCCCTCACGATGGAACCATTGTCACCTACTTATCACATCGGACTGATTTGGCAAAAGCAAATAATTCAAGAGACATATTACACAATCTCCACCACCTACATCCAGTCTAATCATTTCCTTAGTAACCAATAATGTCAAGGCTCCATACACCATCGTTTGAACAAACACAAGCCAATCAGTCCTATATAGACACTGCCTGCAGCTTCCTCAAAGTACCCCCAAAAGCATTAAATGTAATTTCAATTTAAAACACGCCTTGTAAGATGAGGAAAACTTTGATGACAATTGACATCCAACAATTTAACACAGAAACTGATAGACAAAGGAAACATGATATGTTGTTCCCAGCAATACTGAGTTCACACTATGACTTTCAATACAGTTTTGTTAAGGAAACACATTTTGTAATACTGATATCTAAAAGATAGGTGGCAAAATAACAAAAGATATATATCATCTGTTGTAAAAAAAGGAAACCAGCCTGAACATTTCCTATACCTTTGAAATAAGGATGTTACAGTCAATGTAAACTTCGTTCTCTTTCTCTTTGGTTAGGTAGGATAAGCCAAATGCAATGTATACTTTGTCCTGGCCTTTCAAATGATCAAACTACTTTCATCATCATATCAATATCATCATCAATATACCCCAAAAATGGAAAGAAACTATAAGAAAGAATTTATTGATTGTTCATAATCATTATCTTAACACATCACTGATAGATTTACTTTCAGCACCAAAGAGATCCAGATATTTCTATGACAAACTTATAACTTCTGAAAACCTACCATCAACATGTGAAAAATGGCAAAATATTTTTGATATTGCAATTCCATGGTAAGATTTTTTTAGAAAATATAGAAGATGTACAAAAGATACCAAATTGATTGACTTCCAGTTTAAATTTATCCACAATATTGTCTACACAAAGAAAGAATTATTGAGAATGAAATTAGTAGATGATGAACTTTGCTCATTTTGTAATTTAATGTCAGAAAATTTGATACATGTTTATTGGGAATGTGAGTGTGTGAAAACGTTCTGGCTGAAAGTGAAAGAATATATTGAAGATCAATCATCAGAAAATTTTACCCTGACAAAATATACAGTCTTAATTGGCGGATATAATAACGACCTTATGAATCACATTTTTCTTGCCAGTAAAAAATATATCCATATATCAAGTATTGAAAAAAAAAAAATTAACACTGGATACATTTGTAAAAATATTGAGTGATATCTTCAAGACAGAAAAGTTTATTGCCAGTAAGAATCAAAACATATTACAATTTGACAGAAAATGGTCATCTCTACTGCACACATTCCCAGCCTAATGAAGATCCCAATATGTGTAACGCCAAACCATATGAATTTCTCTCCTACGGTGTACAAGTGTTGTTGCATCATGTGCTTTGTATACATGTATCTACTGATTTTGAATGAATAAAAAAAATAAAAAATAAAAAAATATAAAAAAATTAAAATAAAAAAACCAATAAAAAAAACCCCAAAAAACTACTTTCATCATCAGCTATGTGAACCTTAAATCATCAAGGTGTATGCAATGCTTAACACATCATAAACCCACAAGGACTCCCACAACGACTGTCTCAATCCATATCTCTCCCCTTACACCCTTCCCCCTATTCCCACCAACACCCACCACCACCCCAAATATGTCCACAACATACACCCCCACTCCCACAAACACAAGCCCATTTAAACATGTCCACATCACAGACAGACATACTCGCACAGCCCAACAACCCTAAACTCTTCATACAAACCTTCACCTCACTTATATTCAACTAGTATATTCAATTAACAGGACTTATTTTAAAAATGTCTTCAAGCCCATTAAACAGCAATTTCTACTGAACTCCATTCAACTAAAACTAATAAATGTATTCTGTAGAGACTGTGCCAGAAACTCCTATCTCTATGGTGCACAACTCTCTTTTGATGACATATATCACCATGAACTTACTCACTCCTTACAAAAAGTTGCAATTATATATATTTCATTAACCATTAACTGCCAGACTCGGAACAGTGAGCAGGCTGTTCACGCAAATGTTGTTCAAAATGCGTCCATCTACATAACAGTATATCTGGAAACAATTAACTTAGTGAGTGAGTATGGTTTTACACCGCTTTTAGCACTATTCCAGCAATATCATGGAGGGGGACACCAGAAATGGGCTTCACACACTGTACCCATGTGGGGAATCAAACCCGGGTTTTCGGCGTCACGAGCAAACGCTTTAACCACTAGGCCACCCCAAAACAACCCAAAGCTGTATTGACACACTCTAGCGAACCAGACAAGAGATAGACCAACTGGTGAACATATTCCAGCAGTTCAATCAGACTGATCCCAACAACATGTGTTTGGTGTTAACTCCTACACTCATTGATAGACATCATCTGTTGAAAATTACCAAACTCCAGTTTAGCCGAAAATACCATGTAAATATCTACTGCACTTGGTAACACTAATTATTCACAAATTGATCCCAATATTAAAAAATCATGACAACACATCTGTTGCTATGAGTTATCACATATAATTCTCAACGAATCCCTGAATTTATGCCATTAAACCTGCACCATATACATATATATATACATGTATATACACACATAATTATATATTTTGTACACAGAGTGATCCATGTGTACAAATCCAGAACATTGAACAAGATTATTATTTATTCTGGAGGCTTAGAGAAATTCCTGTAGGCTATTCAGTGCATACATATGCAAGTATTGATTGTTTCATAAGTAAGTACAGGGGATTGTAGTCTACTTACAGTCCCTGAACCGCATTATTTTCCCTTCCGCCCAGCCCTTTCTGCAAAGCTAAAGCCCTAAATGAAGCAAGTCTAGATTTCCTATGGCTCTGAATCTCCCTTCTCAAGGGGGCTCCTATGCAATTAAAAGGAATTGTCGGTTTCTATGAAAATTCTATACCTTCAGAGACTAAGCGTAGTCTAAGAGAAGTTAGACGATCTCTGATATGTTGATAGAACTATTGGATTGTAGGATATTGTGTTAAGTGAGTGAGTTAGAATAAGGCACGTAAACGTTAATCTGACTCAGTGCCCCCACCACATCCAACATGAATCCTTGTCATGGCAATATCCAACCTCTAAATCACATTTTCATCATCTTTTAATGGAGACTCCAAAAACTGAACAACAAATAATTCTGTATGCATGTACTAATTTTGAGACTCAAGCCCTGTCTATGGTGTAATTATCAAACACATGGACCTCTCAGTTAACCCACCGCCCACTTAACATGATGTTCGAAGTAGGTTTCCTCTCATCAGCAGTACATAGACACATAAATATAGAACGTAAACTTTATAATGAGGTAATTTTATACAATGCCATCAAAACCAACATCAGACTTACGAGATGTTTGCACCTATAAAGCCATCATTAATCCACTCAGAAATCCAAATGGAAAATGTTTATGGAACTATTTTCAAAACATGCAGTCGGGTTTCAGAAACACAGCTAACAGTAAATATCACATCTCATCAAATATCTCACCTGTACTGTTACGCACCCGACCCCGAACAGGTACCTCCAATGACAAGAACACGAATGTCAACGTAAACTCCCCAAGCTAATTATGTCCTCATTCATTCACAGAGTGTATCAGTCAACCCATCTGACTATTTTGGACAGCACCTATTATGCCTGTGTCTATTGCGCGATCCACACCGTGAAGCTGATCTGATAGTTCCTCCACGGTGACGCCTATAGCGCTATAGACGAGGTTGTAACAGCTGGCAAGGTGTCACTCAACCAGTCTCCATTAACACATCTGTCCCCACACAAATCATTCAACAACTTCAGTTCAACTGTTGATCTATTATTTCCCAATAATTCTATGTTTTCTTTTTAAGGTATTATCTTGAAATAACACATGTTGTATGAAACTAATCTGCTACAAAAAATATTATTGATAAGATTAATATAGATAATCCCCATTTATAGATGAGAGATGCGTGAGCATAAAACTCACAGCAAGGCTTTTTATGAGTTTTTTTATATGGATATTTCTAAATCAATGTTCATGTGTAACTGTGTTGAGGATGGTATATATCGTATCATATTCCCAAATCTCTCACAAACAACTTACTCCAGCTTTAAGTGGACATTGTATCTCCTAAACTGTGAATAATCATCTGTAAACCATATGTCCAGACATTTTCTACTTGATTTATGTAGTGTAATATACACACTGACACTTGCTAACTCTACTGCTGTGTCCAACGATTAGTTTCTGCTTACAGCTGCCTCGCCCACTGATATTCAAAATCATGTTCATTTCAATAGTGATCAATATTTAATACAAGGGACAAAATGTGACCGTTTACTTCTGAGTGGGCACGTAGGGGGTGGACAATAACTAGACGCACAGCTTGCAACTATCAACTCTGACCCAACACTGATGCTTGCAACTAATGATAATATTAATATTACTCCGACTTGTCACAATGCAAACTGACACCACCTATTGAATAAATATCTATAACGCCTTCCAGTACAGAAACGAACATAACACAATGCATAATTTTTAAAAAACATTGATCACATTATTACTGCTCTACACCTGAACTGCAATAGTTTCCATACTATATAATTCAATTTCTATATTTTTCTCAAAAATAGTAATTGAAAACAAACAATGAAACTATTAAAACTCTGTAAACTTGAAGCCACCACACAGTTTTTTAAAACTTTAATAATACTTGTTTGTTGAAAGTGAAAGCTGTTTTATACCTCAATTACTATACTCCTCAAATTGTCAGTCTGACGTGCGAGTTATTCTATTTGAATATACACTTGAACATATAATGAGTATCGGTTTTGTGGATCATGACTGTTTATTACTCTGTAAAAATAGAGTAAAATTACATTCTACCCATTCGACTGACTGACTGACTGAGTTTGGTTTTACGCCGCTTTTAGCAATATTCCAGCAACATCACGGCGAGGGACACCAGAAATGGGCTTCACACATTGTACCCATGTGGGGATTCGAACCCGGGTCTTCGGCGTGACGAGCCAACGCTTTAACCTCTAGGCTACCCCACGGCCCCTTCTAGCCATTCGAATAGTGGCCTGTAAATGATCTTGACCAGATAACTATGCAATACTTTTTCTTAATCAATCAAAAATAAAAGCTGATATTTCCTTAATGCCAACAATTTTTGTTAAATACCACATCAATCTCATAAGCATCAACCAACCATCATCATCATTATGATCAGATGGCAGCGTTATTAAAATAACTGTTACCAAGATTGTTATGTTTGTTATGATATACCAATCATCATGAATGTCCAAACATACTTTCACGTGCCAGACCTCTGCTTTAACAGACTCTATTTCACTAAACTATGGTGGCACATCAATAAACCAGACAGCAAGAATAAAATACAATGTGTCTGGAACACCCATACCTTATCACGTAACACTTACCAAGATACAATAACCACTTTTTAATGTGAATTGTCATCATTATCCAGAGCCAAAACCATCTT